ATTTTAATCTTGAAGTGTATAGTTTGTTCATTGAGGTAAAATAGCAAAGCTTAAACTGGTGAATTGATGTAAAAATTTAGGTAAAAATTTAGTCTATATTTAGAAGCATCCTTATTTTTTATTGTCATGGACATCTCCTGTCAGCATTTTTACTCCTTTTTGTCCTGCTATTTTTGTTGTTCTAAGGAGAGACAGACTGTTTCCATTGGAGTCTTCTAATAATACTTAAAACCAACATTTATATGTTTATTGTCTTATTGGTTGTTGTTGACAATATGGGCAGACATCCAGGATTCATAGTAGGGGTGTAATACTCTAGTATTCTAATAATTTTTGGAGAAATTTAGTGATATGTATTAAAATGTGCAATGTTATACCTTTTGTTTCAGCATGTTTGTCAAGAACGACTTTGTTTCTAGATACACTTTATAAGGGTATGCACACACACATATTCAGATATGTGTAGGTAATCTATTCTATCTGATTTGTTTTCAAATTGTGAAAAACTGTAAATAATTTTGCCTAAAAAAGGACAAGTTAAAAAAATTGTTTCTCTTATGCTCATCTTTTTTATAAAAGGAACCCAAACTACATAATGCTTATAATTGCCTAAATAAAAAATTTGCACTGATAGCAGGGAATTTTAATAGTCATCCCTAAGGATGGATTAGATTAATATCATAGCCTCAAATACTAGATTTTAATAGAATTGTATGAATTTACTATTCCCCAAATATAGAATACATAAAATAACACAAAAGTATTTCTCAAAATTCTTTTTTAGACCTTGGAGTAAATCTTAATAAATATAAAAAATTGTTAACCTGGAGTAAAACACATTTTCTGATCACAATGTTATTATATGTCAATCGTCAAAAAAATCATACAACTAGAAAAATGCATCACTAAGTCTTTTGTGTTCAAAAGGAATTTTTTATAAATACAAATTGTTCATGATTTGAATAATTGTACTTGCCTCATTTATCAAAACATGTAGTTGTGGCTAAAGCAGAATGCTCAAAATGTTTATGACAAATATAAACAAGAAGTATTGAAGGAAAAATGAAATAGACTTTAACTCAGTAGACTAAAAATGAATGCAAGGAAATAGACTTCTACCCAAATTAGGAGGAATTTATAACTAAACTTTATTTAACAAAAAATAAAAAATATTTAAAATACAAATAAAGATCACAGAAGATTTCATTATAAATTCTATTATTATTTCCTTGAACATAATTAAAAGAATCTTTGATAATGATTGAGAAGAAAGCAGAAAACGCAAATAACTTCTTCAGTAGTCTATGTATGTACATTAAAGATTAATATATAACATTAGGCAATATAGATACAGAGGTGATTCAAATTTATCTAAACACTTTATTACATCTAGACGAAATGGCAAATTTCTGTGCTTATGTAATTGTTCAAAATTATGTAAGAAGGAAAATGTATAGATTAATGAACTGTTAATATGTATGGGAGAGTTCATCAGGATAGGAAGATATAATTAATCACTTTCCTTTACCTCAATAATTATTTAAAAAATGATAAATAGAGATTTTAGGGTGTGGCTCAATGGAAAAGTGCTTAGTGTCTGTCTTAACATGTGTAAGGCTTTGGGTTGTATTCCCTGCCCTACCAAAAAAAAAAAAAAAAAATGAATGAAAGGGAGAGATAAGGAAAAGATTGTTAAAATGGTAGATTAGAAAAGGTTGCTTTCCTGATTGTTCCATGGCATGAAACTGAGAATTCAGACATGAGTTTCTCAGCAAGATGAAAAGGGGGAAATTTCTGAGAAATAATTCTGGACATTCAAACCAGAGTGGGGACTTATGTGATTGGCTATAACAAAATAAAGAAGAAACCCCAGTACTGCTACTGCAGGTAGTGGCACAAGCAGATGCAATCTCCTCTGTTCTAAAATAGTGCAGAGACACAGCAATCAAAGGAACCTGTATTTTTAGGAGGTGTGAGGGCTGTCTGCATATGGAGAGATCAGAGATCTGACACTGCCCGCCTAAGTTGAAAGGTGTCATGCACAATATTCTTAATAGAGAAAGAAGCCTCTTGTCTCCTGGCTGCCAGGGAAATCAGAGGAAGGAACCATTTTACAGCTCTAGCATGAGGGACTAGCTGCTGGGGGAATTGAATACTGACAACTGTGCCCAACTCGAAATAAAGGTCTGGCAACCCACATTGCAATGCAGAGTTGTGCCTAACTGACTAGGAGAACAATCAAACATGGAAAGGAGTTTAAATAAGGAATACTGGTTGGGGAAACACACCCAGCTTCCCTCCTCCCCCTCTAGACTAGCTGCTTGAAAGATCAGCTGGGAGAGACAGGCCCACTCATACCTGTTTCTTTTTTTGCAGTCCTAGCATTTTTTGAAGGCAGTTTTTTTATATCAATATTTTGAGGACTAAGATGTTTGATTAGACTATATCATGTTTGTTCTTGTACATTTTTATTTTTTTTTACCAATTTGTAAATTTCTAATTTACACACTTTTTTCTCTCACTTATCTGTTTCTCTTGATTCTCTTTCTTTTCCTATTCTAAAAGCCTATCTTCATTGTAATCTCATTTAGTCTTCCTTTATTTTTTACTTCTACTTTCTGTTCTCTTTCCTGATAATCATCACATTTTCCATCACTTTTTTTCTATACTTGCTCACCACTGAAAACTGTAAACATTTATGTAAACTTACTTTTTTTTTTACCATGGGCAATAATTGATAATATCATTTCTGTTTAATGTGCCAATTAACAGATGCCAAATCAGAAATTATTGATGTAATGCTGTAAATTGTTTGCATTGGTTGTTATTATTGTCTGTCTCCCTCCAAACTGTGATTTAGTGGAAAGTTTCAGGGACACTATAAGTCCACAGGGTAGAAATTCTGCTGCCTCAAAACCATACTGAAAAGTGGGAAGACCCACAAACACCATGAAAAAGTGAGGGAAGAAATCACCACCAACAAACCAAAATAATTCAGTAACAGAATCCATCATCTCCAGAATAGAAGAAATTTCAGAGAAATTGTTTAGAACATTCATAGTTAAATTGATCTGCAATGTAAAAGATGATGTAAGCAGTGACTTTAGGGAAAATACAGGAAATGCACGATCACTTTAATAAAGGGAGATTCTGAAGAAAAAAAAAACACTTGAAAAAAAAGAATCAATAAACCAAATCAAAAATTCACTGGAAAGTATCAATAGCAGACTATACCAGAGTTTCAGGTAATGAAGACAAAATGATCTTGAAAATAAAGTTTGCCATGTTTCACTCATGTACTGAGTTGTGTTCTGTAATGATGGGTAGAGTAAATTAATGGAGAAAGTGGCTTTAAATATAATCTACTCCTGGAGGAGAGCAAATTTATAGTAGTGCTGGCTTTGATCCTCTGCCCTGAACTCTATACTCATATATTTAACAATCTTAGCTATATCTCTGCTTGAGTACCTAATAAATGTATCAAGCTTATATTTAAAAGAGAACTCTTGGTTTCCCTTACATCCTGCTCTACTCCCTCTTGTCTCAAGCTCTGTGAATGCCTCTGATATACATCTAATTTTTAAGCCTTGCTCTTGGGAGGCATCCTTACTTCATATATTCCCTTCAAATACTCTGCCCAATGTGTGAATTCTGGAGCAAGTCTACAACTGCAACTTGAATCTGAAGAGTTCTCTCTCTATTACAGCTATCTCAATAACATTCAATCTCATTTGAACGTAGCAAAACTTCTTGTTCCTATCATGGCCTCTCAAGTCCATTTCCATATAAAAATTTAAATAATCTTTTAAAAATATAAACATTTCTTGCATTGTTCCAGATACTGAAGACCAATGATAAACAGGACAAGGGCGATCTCACTTGAAGGAGCTAACGTTTTAATAAAGTTAGAAAAATTGAACAAATGCAATAACTGAAATGAGATCTTTCATAAGAAATTTTTCTGTTGTCTTGTATCCTGTTATACTCCTATTTAATTTTTTTTTCTTTTCCTTTACATTTTTCTCTCTGAGAGAAAATACAAAATACTAATCATGACACATTAGCTATTGCTTAAGAATACCCAAAGACTAAAAATCAGTCAGGGTTCTTGTTTTCAAATGGCAGAAACCAAGTCTTACTAATTCCAACACCAATCTTAAAGAGAGTACTCACATCTCCTACTCCTTGGTACTCATGCCTTTGTGCAGTCAATTTCTATACTGAATTCAGCTGATCTATACAACCAGTAAAGGTTTGTTGAGTTGATAAGATACAACTTCTGAGGCTGGATCACAGAAGATGTTGTGTAAGGAAACAAAAAGGAGATAGAAGCAAGATGCAGAGGCAAAATGGCTGCTTGTCTTAAGCTGCTGTCTTTATACCATTAGATTATATTAGGTCACTGGCACCATTAGTATATTAATGTTTATTATATCATTAAGTAGAGTGCATTAAGTTATCATGTAAGATGTTCTTGTTAATAATCAGATACGTGTTCTGGACAACCATGCATTAGTTATCTTAATAGTTTCTGGGAAAAACTACAAAATTTTCCAGCCGTGGAAAACAAGACACCTATTATTCCTCAGGAGTTTGATCACCAGATAAACTCACTGCCTTGTACATTTCTACAGTCAGAGCCCTTACAATGATGACATTTCCATGTTGCTCTTCTTAGATCACTTTATTGTGAAGGAAGACATCTGCCATTCCATGACATGCAGATCGACCCTCAAGCAGCCTCAAGGAGAGGTCTGTGTGGCAAAGAATTTGTCAAAGATATTTAGATACCCAGGTATCATGATAACCATGACAATCAGTATCTGGAAGCAGATCTTCCAACTCTGTCAAGTTTTCAGATGAGTAAATATATGGTTTCTGTGATGAATGCAACTTTGTATGTAACTCTGAAAGCTATTTATTTAAGTGGTTTTCAAATTCCTGACACACACACACACACATAAATACACACAAACACTCAAAAAATAAATAAAATATGGTAGACAATTAAAATTTATTTTAGTTTTAGTTGGTGAGGTTGGAAATAATTTGTTATGCAACAATAGATAACAAATATTTTAATATAAATAGAAAATAATTTTATAGAAAAATATTGATACTTCAAAGAATTTCGGGTGAATTTTGAAAATTCCAAGTTCCAGGTTCAGGATTACTCGTCCAGGAGCCATATCATAGTCACACTGCAGAACTGGTCCACTGAGGATATTATCATGGCATTTGATGTCAATCATTGACATATCTGTCCAAGGAAACATGTGGAGTCATCAATGCTACTCTTCCTCAGGAACTTAGTCTCTCTACCACCACATTCATTATGTTAGAAAACTTCTTATATTTACTTTGACTCTTTCATGACTTTAATAGAAGCTGGAAAAATTTCAGTGTCTAGGGTATGAGTGCAGACTTTTCCTTAAGGTTCTAAGATGGTAAAAGTCACTCTCCATATAAAAGATGGTAAGATACTGGATAGACAGAATACACAGTAAATAATGTCATCTCATTGAAATGAGAATAGCATTCAAATGCTTTATGATATAGTTCATAAGACATTATATAATTGAACTGTGGTCTTTTTTTCCTAACTTTATCTTATATCATCTTTTCCCATACTCATTCTGTTCCATATTGAAATTCTATCTCTGTAACATATGAAACTGGTTTTCACTCCTGTAACTCTGCATTTACTATTATCTACATAAGCTGTGTTCTTTACTAATGCCCTTATTTCACTAGCTGGAGTCTTTTCCATCAGTCCCCAGATTCCATGTTGCCTTCTCAGAGAGGTATGTTCTCATCATCATGGTTAAGTTGTGACCAACCCTCCCATTCTGTCTTTAAATATTCTCATTTAGTTTTTTCATTTTCTGAAATTATTGTGTCATTACCCTGTGTTTTTTTTCATGAAAACTAAATGTTGTCAAATAATGACAAATAGTAGACTCTCATTTTCATAGGCTGGAAAACTTAAGATTGTTTAAATGTCCATACTAACCAAAGCAATTTACAGACTCAATATAATCCCCATCAAAACACTAATGACATTCTTTGTAGAATTAGGAAAAAAAAATATAAAATTCATACGGAAGCACAAAAACCCCTAAATAGATGAAGCAATATTGAGGAAAAAAATCTAGTTCTATCATACTCTCTCACTTCAAAACATATTACAGAGCCACAGTATTCAAAAAAGCATGGTTTTGGCATAAAATCAGATACATAGATCAATGGAACAGAATAGAGGAACTGGAAATAACCCCATGCATTTTTAGCTAATTAGTTCTAAGAAAATGTCTCCAAAACACACATTAGAGTAAGAACAGAGTCTTCAATAAACAGTGCTGGGAAAACTATACGTGCACATCCTGAAGACTGAAACTTAACCTCTGAGGCTCACTGTGTGCAAAGATCAATTCAAAGTAAATCAGAGACCCACATGTAAGACCTGAAAGTTTGAATCTATCACAAGAAAACCAGTAAAAAGTTCAAGATATTGGCACAGGCAAAGATTTTTTTTTTTTGAATAACATTCCAAAGCACAGGAAACAGAAGCAAAAACTGTCAAATGTGATTATATCAAACTAAGAAGCTTCTGCACAGAGAAGGAAATGAGAGTGTGAACAGACAAAGTGGAATGTGGAACAAAAGCTTTGCAAGTAATTCATCTGGCAAAGGATTAATATCCAGAATATATATAAGGAACTTTAAAGACAGTTAAAAATTCCAAATTATAGAATTGACAAATGGGCTAAGGATATGAATAGATATTTCTTAAAAGAAGAAATGCAAATGGTCGGTGAACTTATAAAAGGTGCTCAGCTTTACCCATCCAGGAAATGCAAGTGAAAAATACCATTTCACCCTAGTTAGAATAGCTATAATCGAAAAGACAAAATAACAAATGTTGATGAAGAAAAGGGAATGCTCACATACTGGTGGTGGAATCTAAATTAGTATAGCCACTATAGAAGACAGTATGAAGTTTCATTAAGAAACCAAAAATAGATCTACCATGTGATGCAGCTATCCCCTTTCAGGATATATATCCAAGGAATGGGCTCAGCATCTTAAAGACACACATGTATGTCAATACTTATTGCTGCACTAAGATGTGAAAACAAATGCTCATCAAATGATTAACTGATAAAAATGTGTTATATATGCAAAATTGAATATCATTTGACCATAAAAGAATGCTATTTTATCATTTGCAGAAAATGCATATAATTGGAATACATTAAGTGAAATTAGTTAGATGCAGAAAGACAGATTCTTCATTTTCTCTCTCAGATGTTTTAAAAGTCTACTGAAATGTATAATAGTATTTACTAGAGATTGGGAAGGGGGAGGGGAGTAAGGAAGGTGAGAGGATAGGTGAGATATACTCAAACATAGTTATCTCAAAGTTACTGTTTTTGGCATTCTATAGAACAGTGGAGGAATTATAGTTATTACATAATTATAAATAACTAGAAGGGAGAAACTCAATAGAAGAACATAGGACAAAGTAATGTTAAGAACATGTAAATGTTAATTATATGACTTGATCGGTATATATTGCATACATATATTGATATATCATCTCATTGTTTAGAAATAAACAATTACATGTTAATTTAAAAAAATAAACAATTACATGTTAATTTAAAAAAATTAAGGAGATGGAAATGTCAACTACAATGTTTTGATTATTACACACTATACACAGATATTAAATTATCACACCATACCCTATAACTAGGTATGATTAAGAAATTAATAAAAATATTTGAACAAAAGAGTGAATGATGAAGACAAGTAATTACACCTCCTCTTTCCAAGACCTTTAGATATACATAGATAATGAAAAGGTAACACTAATTACTTGTTATCCCTTCTTTGAAAAAAAATGTTTGGGGAAAATGGAAAAATGCTTCATGGAAATATTTACTCTAGAAATAAACATATTGTTGTTTGCCTTCTTTGAATTTATTTACCTCATTCTGGTTTACTAATTGAATCTGAAATTTTTTCAACCATGTGATGTAGGTGAAATTGGCTCTACACAAATACCTAAGCAAATCAGGGTCACAATGAGTACTCAGAAGTTGATAAGGGAATTGACTTCATGTAACCCAAAGAAAGTCCAGGATTCTATGTGGTGGTTGTAGGAAGAAAACATATTTTTATTCTTTATATATTATGGATATTAAAGCATATAATTCCATCTGAAGCTGGTAACTGAAACATGGATGTCCAGGTTTAGATGAAATTCATTCTGTGTCAAAAAGGGGAAAGTCATAACAAAATTGAAAATGTATTAACATTACTGGGCAACTACAACTTTAATTTTTCAGTTACCTGAGTCACTAAATGTCTTGTTTTCTAATACTTTTAGGGGAATCCAGTTTACCTGATATAAAATCAAATAGGGGTAAATTTCCTACATGTCTTAATACCTTCTGAGGATTCATTTTTGAGCACTGTATATATTTATGCACATAAATATATACATTCAAACAAATTGAAACCAGATTTTCTATTTATTAATCATCAGCCTTTTTCCTCCTGGATTAGAAATGAATCTTCATAAAATTAACAGAATAAATGTGAAATAATCTGAAATGATAGACAATTTTGTGATCAGAATAAGTTATCAGATTGCTTTTTCTTTTAACATAGGCATAACTTTAAATAATAATGGTGATTTTATGCCCACAGCAAAATATATTTATTCTTTCTTTGAGCTATATGTTACCAAACATCCTTTCAGTTTGCTTATTTTACTTTCATTTTTGTAATTTGTTTCTGACTTTCTGCTTAAAAAACAAAAAGCAGAAAAAAAAACCCACATACATTTCTAAACAATTAAAACATTATTCAAGGGACTGGGGTTGTGACTCAGTGGTAGAGCACTTGCCTAGCATGTGTGAGGCACTGGGTTCGATTCTCAGCACTGCATATAAATAAATGAATAAAATAAAGATCCATCAACATCCAAAAAAATATTTAAAAAAAATTATTCAATGGAAAGTGTCACTTCTACCCTTGGTTCCCTAATCTTGATTAGCAGAGGTGACCAGATTTAAGTTACTTGTTTCTTATGTGTCCTTCCATAAATATTCTGTATCCTTTTTTCATATTTGTTTGTTTGAATGTGTAAGTAGAGTTATTAAATGCATTTCATACTGGAAGCTTTAGGTTAAGGAGTGTGGCAGTCAGTGAAAGTTAGGATCCATTGCAGTAGCCAACAATTCAGTAAGAGACTGAAAACAACAGAAGTTTAATGCTGACTCATGCTACTTGTTCATCCAAACTCAGCTGAGGTCTCTGCACTGCCTAGATTAATGAAGAAACCAGTAACTGGAACATTGCTGGTCAAGATTAATATAAGGAGTTTATCTTCATTCTTTACAGACTCTGTATGTGGGAATTCACCTATCCAGTAAATTTTTTGTAACTACCAAATCAATACTTACAGAACTTCCAGGGTTACTCTCTGCTATGCACAGAATGGTGAAAAACTGAGTTGCCCCACAGTGCACATTTCCAACTGAGGTCAAACAGAATCATGCTCTGTTTTTTTGTTATATCTATCATATTGTAAAAAGGTATCTTTTTGTCTATTTAGTATGATTTTTTAAAAACATTTTGTGTATTTTTGTTGGATATTTTGTCATTTAAATTGACCCAAAGTGGGGAGGCTAAGTATTGTCTAGCATTGCTATGCACAAACAGGCTGTGAGGTGCTTTAATGGAGAAAATACACATCAGATAAACTTTGTTCAGGTATGAATTATGGTACTGTTGACTATGAGTTTACTGTTAATGAATTAATAATACAGTGCATTCAGAGAAAAAGAAGCGGGGGATTTGGCAATATTTATGTGAAGCTGCCTCAGAACATGGGAAAGTAATATCTATGGTGTTTGGATCCAAGTTATATAGAAGCATCTAAATCTATGCACAGTATGGAAAAGTGGTTAAATTTGTGGATTCAGTAGATGATAAATATAAAGCAGGATAGCCAACAATATATTGTGAGACTAAAACCAAAACAAAACAAAATTACATACAGGTTGCCATGACCAGGAACATGCTAAACTTTCTTGGTTATTGTTTTATTATAAAGAAGTACTGAATATAATTAATTATTTGTAAGATATGTACATATCTATAACTACATAACTCCAAAAGGTATCTTTAAACACAAACACATGTATAACAATATTATAGGTATGAACTATCTCTCTATATGTCTAT